GTGCGGTGGGGGCCCGCCTCCCCCGGCGCCTGGACCCACAGCGGCTGGCTGCCGAGATCCTCTCCTACAAGTCCCAGCACCCCAGTGAGTGACGGCCTGCACCCCCAGGGCCGCCCACACTCCCAGGGCTCTCAGGCCCCGAGCCCCCTGGAGGCTGGACAGAGGGAGGATTAAAGTAGGGAAGAGAACCCACAAACCAAAGATACCGTAGGATTGGTCCTGGCCCATGCGGCCCCTCGGCCAGCTGTCCGTCTGTCCGATGGGTCAGGAGCGATCACCCTGTTGATACACATTGTATCTCTGTCGTTAAGGAGACGCTGCCAGTAACGGCTGTCGGTCCGTGGCTGAGGCCCAAACCCTCTTTTCTCTCGGAGGACGGGGAAGAAAGTCGGGGAGCAGAGGCCTGGCTGGGGCCTGTGCGCGGCCCCCATCTCCGCCCCGTCCCCGGGATGCCGGCCTCGGCTGGCTAGTTGGGCACTGTGTGTCCGCCCGCTAAGGGCCCTTCTAAGCCAATGAGGCCTCCTCTGTGCCCTCTCTCTGGGCACGAGGCTTCATGTTAGTAAGCAAGATGCTTCTTATTAACCCAGTCTCATCGCCCCTGCCAGGTGTTGGGGCCCTCTGTCCCCATCCTCCCTCCTCTGCTCAGACTCCCGCCCCCCCCATAGGTGGGGTCAGGTGTGAACCATGGACACCTTCCCAAATGCATCAATAAAGTATAACGTGAACCCTTGTAAGAGGCCATGGCCTTTGTCACCGCGGGGGTTTGGGCTGGCCTTTGGTGACTGCACACCTACTCCCCCCTGGTACGGGGCTGCCACTCCACACCAGCTCTGACCCTTCTCCGGAAGGAAGGTGTCCAGGTTCGCCCGGAAGTGCTTGGTCCCCTTGGAGCCGGCACATCTTCCCTGAGGCCTTGGGCTGGGCACGGCGGCGGCTGTGGCACAGGGCAGGGGTGGGGCTGGGGAGGTGTAGAAGGGTGGAGAGTTCCGGGCTGGACCCCGGCCTGGGGGTAAGGCAGCAGGATCCAGCATGGCTGGCAGCGGTCTGAGGCCCAGCAGGGCGAGAAACGCCGGGCATGTGTGGGTGCACACCCAGAACCCTGAAAGGAGGTAGAAGGGGCTGTGGCGTGCCCGTGCTTCCTCCTTCCCCTGGCTGGCAAGTCCACACACCTGCTAGCCAAAAATAGACAGGGTTGGGAGTTCTGTGAGTGCAGCATGGGAGGAGTGGCCCCGGGGACAGGACCGGGCTGACCTGGCTGAGAAGGGCTGTGGGAGCCCTCGGTGCCCAGCTGCGACCCCATCCTCCCAACAGCGCTGTGTGCCAGAGCCAGGGCGCGACCGGGCAGGGAGTGCTGGGCAGCAGCCGGCAGGGTGATGCCCAGGTGACCGGGAGATCAGGCCCTGGTCCCAAATCCAGGAAGAGCCTCTGCTACTGTTAGGTCCTTCAGGGCAGGCGACGGCCCCTCTCTGGGTCTCGGTCTCCTCAGCAGTGAAATGGGTCACAGTGGAGCCCCTTACACGGCTCCCAAGGGACAGCATGTTGGGTAGGTGGGCAAAGGCCTGACACAGTGAGACCCCGCTTAGAGTCTCTGGGGATGGGGCTCTGGACTCCCACGTGGCCGACCCCTATTTGAGTCCTGGACCTGGTAGTGTGCTATCTCTGGTCAAATTAAAAAAGAATAATAACAAATAAAATTAAATAAATAGTCATTTCTTTTCTTTCTCTCTCGCTTTTTTTTTTTTTTTTTTTGAGAGTGTTTTGCTATAAGGGCATGTGCACTCACCAGAAAGAGACAGACAGAAAGTGAGAAATCACCCCCCAAGGGGGATGGCCATGCCACAATCCCTTCTCCATTCTCCTCTCGGGATCTTGGGCATTCACGCACACCCGCCTGGCGTGAGTTTTAAGCCACCAGGTCTGGGACTCGAACCGAGGTCAACTACGTGGGAGTCCTATGTCACAGCCATTATGCAATCTGCTGTCCCCAGTAATTTCTTTTAAAAAAAAATAGTTTCGGGGACCAGCAGTTAGCGTAATGGCTATGTCGCTGGACTTCCACGTAGTTGACCGCGGTTTGCGTCCTGGACCCGGTGGCTTAAAACTCACGCCAGGCGGGTGTGCGTGAATGCCCAAGATCCCGAGAGGAGAATGGAGAAGGGATTGTGGCATGGCCATCCTCCCGGGGGATGATTTCTCGCTTTCTGTCTCTCTATCTCTGTCTGTCTGGTGAGTGCATGTGCCCTATAGCGAAAACTCTCCAAAAAAAAAAAAAAAAAAGAAAAAATAGTTTCTGGGGCCCAGCCTGGTGATAGTCCATGGTGTACTGGACTACAGTGCTGCAAGTCACATGGCCATCCACAGGTTTGGACCCCAGAGTTGGCCTGCAAACAGGCCAGGCTCCCGGGGTTCCAAAGAGCTGCAGGGCTGGGGGAAGGGGGCCACGGCAGGCCGAGCCCGTCAAGGTGCTCTCCCTCTCGTGTGTGTGCACACATGCTATTATGAGAATAAGCAAACACAAAAATAAAGGACCAGCCCCACAGCCTAGGGTTAAGGGAGGTAGGGCCCACGTGGCCAACCGTTTGAGTCCTGGCCCTAGCAGCTTGAAAAACACTCCAGGCACGTGTGTGCCTGCCCCAAATCCTGCTAGGATGCAGAAATGGAGAAGAGGCTGCAGCGTGACCACACCTCCCCGGGGAGGCTTTCACCGCATCCTCTCTGGTGAGCACGTGCACCCTCTAGCAGAAATAAAACGAAACAGTTAGGAAACCTCTAACATCACTTACTGCGGGTACCATGTCAAACTTCACAGCAGCCCCTAGTAAGAGCAATACATCCCTTTTCTGTTTTTCTTTTTTCTGCAGATAAGAAAATAGGATGTGAGTGTTAACTATTTTAAATGAAAAGCAAGGCCTTCAGATGACCTGCAGCCATGCCATCAGGAAGGGGCAATGGAGGAGACCCAGTGTTAGTAATTCCATCTTCGAACATCTCACCTGCTCTGTATTTATTTTTTCTGAGCTTCTGTAATACGTATGAGTTTTTCGTTTGTTTCTTTCTTTTTTTAGTTTTGCTATAAGGTGCATGCGCTTACTGGGGGGGAGACAGAGTGAGAAGGAAAGTGGGAAATCACCCTCGGGGTGGCCACGCCCCAACCCCTTCTCCTCCATTCTCTCAGGATCTTGGACATGCATGCACACAAATCCAGTATGTTTTTAAGGTGCTCAGTGCAGAACCACACAGCAGCAGCCATGGGGGATCCAACCACCTCAGCTCTGCACCACCCCCTGGCCCCGCATTTGTGTTCGTACTTTTAGAACTGTGTTCGCACAGGACAGATGCACGGCGTGTTGAAGGCGCACTCCCTGCCCAAGGTCCCCACCTTATCCTGTGCCCTGAATGTTCTTGAGAAGCCTGCATTTAAGGTAAGAATCAATGTGCAACACAAACAGCTTCTTGAAAAACCCTAACCCCTACGAGGGACTTCACGGTGCCCTGCTTCTGTGGCTTCCAGCCTCCCTAGGAATTTTATCTGCCAAAAAAAAGTCATTCCCTTATTAAATATCTTTTTTCAATCCAGAACTGGATTCCCGATTGAAAGGCTATTTATGGGGTTCCATTTGTTTTTATGGGACAGGAAGTTAAAATACCGGACTGTCCGGGTCATTATCAGCCACTTGGCAATGCCCAGTGACTTGCCCAAGGTCCCACAGAGGAGGACAGGCTGCGGCAGGACCTTGAGTATTGGTCCTCTGGCTCCCCAACTGGAGGGAGGGAGGGCCCCAGAGGCTAGTTTCAGCGACTCAGGGACGAGGGTATGCCCACAGCCCCAAACCTCACAGTCCCTTAGGTTCCCAACATTCACAGAATCACTCCAATGGCATGGCAATGACTGACCCACCCACCTGCTCAGTAGCCCCACCGCCAAGCCCCGTCTCAGCACACCATGGTGGCTTCTGGGTCGCCTGGAAGGAGTGACCCCTCTTCCCCGTTCCCATACCATCTGCCCCCTGGCCATAGACTTTTGAGTTCGCGCTTGTTTCTTAGTTTTTGTTTTAATATGCCAGAGGGCATGCATGAGAGAGACAGAGAGACAAACGCCCCACCTCCTGGTCATGCTGCCATCCTTTTTCCTCCAGTTTGCCAAGCCGCCAGGCTCCTGGGACACGGGCATGCCAGGGCTGGGACTTGGACCCTTGGTGAGCCTTGTGGGATCTGGCTTCCTCTGCACGGTGCTAACCGCTGCCCTGTGAGGCTGGCCTTTGTTTCTACACTTGCTTCTTGACCAGAGCTGAACTCGGTCATGTGCTGCTTCTGCTTCTGTGAGGGGGGTGGGTCCACAGGCAGATGGATGGCAGTGGGCAGCCGCCCAGCTGGCAGTAGTTGATGTCCGCAGCCAGGGTCCGGCCCTGCTGGTGCACTGGTAGTCACCGACAGGATAGCAGCACCCACGTGGCAGCTGCTAGCCGGGGCTGGCTCCAGGGAGGACCGGGTCACTTCAGTTCTCTCAGCCTCAGCTTGCATCCTGGGCTTTCCCAGAAGTCTGCCCACCCGGGCCAGCTGTCCGGGCTTTGGAGCCTCCCCTCCAGACTTTCTCAATCTGGCTTCCGAGCAGCGCTGCTCAGAGGTTGCCAGGCCCAGTGTCCAAGATGTTTTTCCCCCTACAACTTGGGTTTGAACTCCCAAATCTTCCCCACTGCCCACTCAAGCAGCTTCAGTAGGAGACATTTACTCACAGGGCCTCGGTCTCCCCCCTTGTAAAAGTCGCCCAGTGGCCCATGCCTCTCTCTAGATTTGCCCAGAGGACACTCCAGTTCAGTGGGGACCACTGGACCCGGAGAAGGCCTGGTGAGGCCCAGTCACCAGCTGCGTAGCCCCCGGCAACTCGCTGCCCTCCCAGAGCCTCAGGCCAGAGCGTGGTTTCCTGGACGGAAGCTCGAGCCTGGGAGAGCCCTGGGAGGGTGGCTGCTCCCTTGCTTCATCCCGGTGTTCCTGGTTCCAGGAGCCCAGAAGCTGATGGGGAAACCAGAGGCTATGCAAATGCCGCCGCTGTGTTGGGAAATGCTGGGGAGCTCGGAGCACAGCTGCCTGCCTTCCCCCACGCCCTGCCCCACCCGGGGCTCTCACCAGCAGGGGCCTGGCCCTGCATTTTCTTACATGCCCTATCTCGCACACACTAAGGCTGTCTGTCCTCGAGAAGCCCCCAGCCCACAACCGGGTGAACAACCCCTGCTCTGGACGGCAGCCCACTTGGCCGACTCCTCCAGGCTGGAGGAGAGCCAGCTGTCCCTAAAGATGGGGCACCTACACTAAAAACAGCTGTCCCAAGGCTCTCAAGGCTGCTAACACCCCAAACACTGCTCATCTCCCCCCGGGGCAGAGGCCAGCCTCAGCTGCCACTTCCTCCCACTTCCGACCAGCAGAGGGTGCCCTCCCTCCTTCTCTGGCTCTGGGAAAAGCCAGGTTGTCTTGGCTCCACGGAAGGGCAAGCCCTCTGCTCTGAGGAAGTGGTGGGCAGGTGGTGAATGGCATAATGCAGGAGTCTCAAGGGACATGCTGGAGTCAGGAGGACAGAGGTGGTGCCGTCAGCCTGAGCCCTGGGCCCCGCTGTCACCACGGGCTCCTTCCCCAAAAGCAGGCAGCCTGAGGACCCTGGCACTTTGGCCCTCACTCCCTGGACCTCGCTTCCTAGCAGAGCGGGCGGAGTAGAGTGGTAGGGCCTGTTCTGGGACCTCCTGCTTCATGGGAAGGAGTGGGAGGTTTGGCTGAAAGAAGCAGGAAGTAGGCCTGCCACTGAGGAAATCCAAGCCATCCCAGGCCATGCCTGTAAATCCTTCCGGCTAGTTCCTGGAGGGGGAGGAGGCCCCAGGCTGTCACAGTGGGTGTGGCCTCCTGAGGCTGCTGGTGATCTAAACTGCTCTCCCGTTTGAGACACAGCATCCAAACTAGGAGGGGGAGGCGCAGGCACCCCGCCTCGCCCACACCAGTGAGCTCTGGCTGGGAGGTCGGCCACTGGGAACGGTCCCAAGGCTCTGATGCTGCCGTTCTCCAAGGAGCCTCGCCGAAAGCCAGGGGTGCTCCCGGCGCGCTGCCTGCCACCTGCCGGCACCTCCTGGTATTACTGCCTAGTCACCGTGGCCACCAGCACAGGCCAGGAGGGAAGGGCCTGGAGAGAATCTAAGACAAATACTGGGAGAAGTGCAAAGGCAGAAGCAGGGAGCTCTGAACGGCGTTTGCAGCACCAGCTGGAAAGCAGCAGCAGAAGTCACTGCCGGGCCTCTACCCAGTCCAGACCTCCCGGGGACAATTACCCAGGAAAAATGCTCAGAACGGGAGTGTAAGCAAACCTCGCTTGCCGAACACGCTTCGGTACCCTCTGCGTGTTCTAACGGTCTGCGTGCTCGGGCCCCCCCCCACCCCCCGCCAGAGTGTCTCTGTTGAAATAATACTCCTGGGACCAACAGATGGCGTAATGGTTATGTCACTGGACTCCCAGGGAGCTGACCTCGGTTGCAGTCCCAGACCTGGCAGTTTAAAGCTCATGCCGGGCACGTGTCCATGCATGCCCAAAATCCTGAGAGGAGAACGGAGAAGGGGTTGTGGTGTGGCCATCTCGTCTGGGGGGGTGATTTCTCACTTTCTCTTCT